AGACAAGGTAAGGGATGATTATGTGCTGTAATCAGTAACCAGTCAGAAGGAAAAGAATGGCTCGTGAACAGGTGTAATTATCCAATCAGTTGTTGAGGCGTGTGTGTGATAAGGGGTAACAAATCAAAAGTGAAAGAATGATGTGTGCTTGGGGTGTGGAGGAGGAAAAAAGGATATATAAGCAGTGCAAAGCTTCAATAAAGTGCTGATGCCTGAACACATCTCGGTGTCGGTCATTTCATCCGCCACGCAGTTTGAGGTTTGTGTCTTCTTGCTGCATTCAGAAATAGGACTGGTGGCTTTTCATATACGTTGATTTTCTGGCAGCTTGCAAAGGAAAACACATTAAAATGTGTTATAACAGACTTTCTCACTAAAAATCAGTATGAGAAGTTTGGAGATTTAATGAAAACAAAGGGAAGGGCAACATGCAGGTTTTCAAAATAAACTAAGTAATGATTTTAAAGTTATTCAGATAACTTTAAAGTTAATGTTTTTAAGGTTTTATTAGCTAGTGTTTTTAGGTTGCTTTCATTTTATGCTTTTTGACAGTTATAGGTATTTTCCCAAGGATTATGTAGGGTAGGAAATTCTAATGTATTGCATCTTTATTTGCCATTAGAGAAGGTTTTTGCAAGACCTTTTCAAGACAGTGCAGTAACTGATAAAAATCAAATCTGACATGAAGAGGAAGTCTGGACTGATAAAGCAAGCTTGAGATAAAGCAGAATTGCAAGTTTTCAATAAACTCATTTTGCAATATGTGTATATTGTACGTAACATCATGTACATGATTTTCTGTGCATTGATAGGCATCTTATTGCAGGTGTGTATGGATCATATCAATATAACATGAAGTAGTATGACTATTTTCATGCCTGAGACTTAGGAGAGGTTTACATCATTTCAGTTTGCATTCATACAGACTTGAAAACAGCATGAAAAATGGGTGTGGACATGAAGCAATTAAAATGTCAATTTTTTTTTAATTGACTTAAAACAGGCTAGAAACTGTTAAAGGTGCAACTGCATGGATCTTCAGGTTAAAGTTCATTTGTAATGAACTAAGTTATCAGTTCTGTTTGGGTTTTTTTTAATAATAACATAATATTACAGTTGGATTAAAAAAAAAACATGCTGAAGACAAGAATTCTTTAATTAAAATTAAAACCTTGATGCTACAAGCACTTAGGGGAATAAGTGCAATTGCAGTCAGGTGAGTGATGTCACTGACCAACAGTAGCACTACTTCAGTGAAAGGCTAGTGAACAGGTAATTCCCTGGTGGATGAAGCTGTACTTCTGCCGCTGTTTTTAGACTGGAAACACTGTGTCTTAACAAAAAGGAAGCATTAGAAAACTATTATTATTATTATTATTATTATTATTAACCTATTTTTTTTATAGGAAGTATGTTGGGCTTTGGGGGTTTTGGGGTTGTTTGTTTAAAAAAAAAACAAACCTCCATGTTGTGAAGTCTTAGTAGTTAAAAGTGGAGCACGTTCTGTTTTCTTGCAAAGTTTGTTTATTGTGAGTCTTGACTAATTAAGCATTTTGAGCTTTGTCTCTTTCGGTCTCTGAAGTGCAGTGTATCTGAGTAAAGCCTCAACACTTCCTTCCTACTCATCTGAAATTGAGCTAGGAAATATGCTTAAGTGGTAACTACAAAGCATCTATTTTAGTCAGTGAGGTTTATAAAAAAAACCCAAATAATACGTGAATAAAAATGAAGTTTTATTTCCTTTCCTGTGACTGTAACCTACCTTGAATGGTAATGACTTGAGTAGTGGTTTGAGGATTTCAGTACTTGGTTGAACATGATCTCTCCTCTTCTTTTGAAGGTACTCCTTTGTATGCTGCTCACTTCCGCCCAGGGCAGTTCGTGGATGTTACTGCAAAAACGTAGGTTCTTAATGATTTAATGTGTATGGTTCATCTTCCAAATAGACTGTTTGAATTTCCCTCTTCCACCCACCCCTCATCTTTGGCTTGAGCTCACGGCTTACAATAGCTGAAATTCAACTGCAAAGGTAGTGGCAGGAAATAGAAGTGCATTCAGCCATTGGGTCAAAAATATCAAATTATCTTTCTTTGAGGCTTACTTTAGATTTTGAACGTGCTAGGTAAACAAATAATATTATTAGGGCTATGATTCTGCATGTGTTGTCTGTTGCACATACATGATTAGCATGGAAGGGCTTGACAGACAGCTTGAGAAAGAGGTGCTCAAGCTTAGCATGGGTGAAGAGGTCTGTAATGCAGCATCTGTGGTATGTAGAAGTGGGGAATAAGTGCTGAAAGGCCTCAATTCCCAGAAAGACTGCTTAATTTTTATTTGGTGAAGAGATGTGAAGAGAGATGTATCATGTGGACCAAAATAAAAACAAAAAGATAGTGAACACATTTAGCAGGACAACAGAGCTGTCAAAGTCCTTTTTTTTGTTTTCTCTCATGTTCCGGCTCATCTGCTTGCCAGCAATTGCTAATGATCTTTTACTTTGACGTGGGAGGAATGATTGCCTCAGACCACTGCCAATGCCAAATTAGAGCTCAAGTGTTAAAGGATGTCGAAAGAAAAACTGGCATCTTGTGGCAAAGACTAGTCATGCCTCTTCTGTTACATCCATCATTTGCACTGCCCAAGAGAATCAAGAACTCGTATCTCCGTATTTCAGTGAACTGTATTTTCGTTGTGTTGTGATACAAAGACAGTGTTTTTCATTTGATGATTTTATTTTTTGTATAATGGAGATAACACTCGACTGGCCTTGTTGAAATATCAGCCATTGTAGTTATCTCACATATGTGTAATTCTTATGAATGTCTAATATTATTCACAGGGCTTTGTGTATATGAGGAAACCAACTAGTTAGTTGTCAGTTCTAATACATCTATACCTGACTACACCTATGAGGGCACCCTATTGAGAAATGGAGGTTGAGGAGTTAACTGGAATTAATGTTTTTCTATATCAAACTTCCTTAGATCTGGTGTATTACTCATTCTGCTTCTAAATTGCATTCAGTGAACAGCCTATAAGAGACAATAGCTTGTTTGCAAAACAAAGCAGTGTTATTAGGAATACAGTCATTCCACGTAGATTGTCACACTTTGTTAATGCAGAAAAGCTTTGTTCTTCTAGAAGTATTTCAAGAACGAGGAAATGGGGTTTTGAGCAATGTAAAAGATACTGGTAAGCAGCCACAGGGTATTGATTTATATCTTGCTGTATGTATTTGAAAATATTAACAAGCTAAAAATAGACTGGGTTCTTGGTCGTGTTCAGTTAATCCATCCTATATTTTCATTCAGTATTTCTAATCTGTTTTCTGCAGATATTTGTATGATCCCATTTCAGAAATTAGCTTTTTGTTCATACTCTTGATTTTGGTAGCATATTGCATGTAATCCTACTGTACAGGTGGAGAACAGTATCTTCAGCTAAATATAAAGATCAGATTATTTTTTTATCATGGATTTTCTGTCAGTGTGATTCTCTAATCATTCCAGTCTTCATATATCCAGGGAGTTTTAAACCTTTTTCTGTGACTTACTCACATTCTGATTTCTACTTTTAATGTTTCTTTATTCTTAATTTCCATTTTTCTGGAATGCTGTATTTATCCTACTCCCTTAACTTTTGGGCAAGAATTAAATTATTTTGCTACATTTCAGTTTTTCTTTGGATCTTTTACTTTATCCCATGTAATTTCATCCAGCGTTGCTTAGTCTTATACTTGGATGGGGTTTGGTTTTTCATTGTTTTTCAGAATACTGTATCATTCTTAGCTTCTATACCTGTAAGTACAGATTTCACAATGTCACAAAAATATCCAAAAAATGCTTCAGTGAAGGGCAAAAAAAAGTCATCTTGGGAATGATTATAGCATTGAGCTGTAGCCTTTGGACTGTGCTGTGAGGGAAAAATGAGAATGAACGTACTTCATATTAGACTTGTGTTCTGAACCCCTCTCAGGAGGAGCCAGCTTCTCCCCACTGAACAAAGAGGGAACCTGGGGAGGATTGGTCCACAGGCTGAAATGATCCTTTGTACATTACTCTCTGCAGTCCAATTTTCAGAAGTTATGTAGGCACTTGAAAGATCGTAAGCTATAGGGGCATTTTGTAAAGGTCCTTCAGCATATAATGGTTGGGTTACGGTAGAGAGCATGGTTTGACTTCCTCTCCTTTGCGCAACTTCCATCTTCCTGATTCAAACCATTATGGACTTAAAAGTCAGTAATTCCTAAAAACTTTCTATCACTGCTAGTAAAGTTTTTAGAAATATTTTTACATTAACATGTACTTTACTTTTTTAAGATTGACAGCAATTTTGTTTTACTGGAGGAAACACTGAAATGTGCAATGTTTGAAATCATATAGATGAAAATAGCAGTGCTGTTGTTAATAGAATGATTAATTTCCTTTAAAAAAGGAAATAAAGAAAACTGTCACCTCAATGAGGAGATAACGTGTTGGAATATAAAGGATATTTTAATTTTTACAAGCTCTTTATGATTCAGATGAGTAAGATGTCCTTTTGTATGCTTCCTTCTGCCAGGATGTAGATCAAAAATATGCTCTTTAAAAATAAGTAAGCTTTACTTAGTTACATAGCTTGAACAAAGTACTTGCACTACGTTTCAGAGGTCTTGGTTAGGATCTTGATTTGGTTACCAAATTTTTTTTAATTACTATCTAATTTAAACTTTCCTTGCAGGTGTTTTTGTCAAAGTCTTTTGAAATGTTTTGATTCATTTATACTTCTGTGAAGAAAAACCCTTTAACAGAAACAACAAAGGTTCAGCTAAAGACGTATGCAGTTTGTTTTTATTTTAAATCTCATAATTTGTTCAGCACAGTGTGAGTTGCTTTTAGAGCACGGTCAGTAGACAGTGCATCTGCATACTGTCAGTCATCTTTAGTGCTGAATTTTTTCCTTAGTGCTTATATTCAGCAATTTAAAAGCTCAGTCCTTAAGTTTTATTGCAGTCTTTAATGACAAGACTTTTCCTCGGTGCTTCAGAGGTATGTTTCAAAAACATGTAGAGGCTTAGTGCCCTTTTTGGGACAGCAGTAAACTTCAAAATTCCTGTGTGGCCTGATGGTCTGTTTTATGCCCAGCTTGCTGATCAGCTGGTTGAGATTCTGCAGTAGTACAAAAATGACCATGACATGAGAATGGGGAGAGGTGGGACTGTGCCTTATATTGATAAGCCCAATGCTGTATGGAGATGGAGTTGTATTATACCTCCTTTTTCTGACACTTCTTGACCTCTTTCATTAATGTTTCAGGAAACCTTTGGAACATGAAAAGTTTTGTCACTCCAAAAGCCAACAGTAGTTTTATTTGAAATATGCCAGAATTAAGTGGTGATTCAGATGTGTTTATGGTTTATTTAAACTTTGCTAGGTTAACAGTGTAATCTGAGCCTGAAAGTATGCTCTACAATTGTCTGAAATTATTTGGCTAAGTGGTTGGAATCTTTTTCCTCTACAGCATCTATATAATTGTCTTTTAAATTAGCTGAGTTTGAAGAGTTAGCTGTGAACTAAATTGTTGCTTAATTAGAGTGCTTTATTCCAGTAGCTTTCTAAATGAAAGTTGGCTCATTAAGTACTGGCATTTTACTTGTATCAAACCTGGAAAATGAGGCTTTGTACAAAATTAGGTGGTTGACCTGAACAGCTGCTTTCCCGCAGGTGAGACTAGAACAACTGTGTGTAATTAAACTCTATTTTTAATTCTACATAAAGATGATTTTCCTCTCATTTAACATTTGTGTGTCTTAGTTTTGCATATCATCATTGCTGCCTGTCGTTCTTTTCTGGGACTCAGGTAATCATGATTCAATGAAGCTAAGTAAAGTGAGTGACTACATTCCATGTATTGAAGAACAGTGGCATTATATATATCAATTCTAGTAAAGATAAGTCTCATGCATATTTTTTTTGTTCAGATATGTTCAATGTTGTTGTCAGAACAAAAATATATAGTCCTTGATTCAAGCCAGGACAACAGGTAGAAGATGACTTATCAAGAAATCGCAACAGTGTAAGAAGGATGACAAACTGTCTACTTCAATGTAGCTTCTTGACTATCATATCTCAGATACTGCACACAACTTGATTCTTTCAGAGTGGAATCTAGATATTAATCTTATTTCATTAATATATAGTTCTGCATTAAGATCCCACTTTGATAAATCTTAATGTTTTTTGAAAATGTCTGAAGCTGTCAGTACTATGCCCGTTAACAGAATTCGGAGTTTGTCCTGGTTTTGGCTGGGATAAAGCTAACTTTCTCCTTTCAGTAGCTAGAATAGTGCTGTGTTTTGGATTCAGTACGGGATTTGGTATGAGAAGAATGTTGGTAATATACTGATGGTTTTAGTTGTTGCTGGGAAATCAAGGACTTTCTGACTTTCCATATTTTGCTAGTCTGCAGGTGCAAAAGAAGCTAAGGGAGAGCGTAGCCAGCATGATGAATTCAAATTGACATTTGGGTGTGTCAATGGAATATTTCATGTCATACAACATCATGTTCAATATATAGATGAAGGTTGGCTGGAATGCTTGTTCTCTCCTTTCCAGGACTGTGGTTTTGATTTCAGGATGTTTGCTCCTCTGGGTTTGCTATCCATGAACGGGCTGGGCATTGGTTTGCAGGTTTTGAGCAATATTGTTCTGTGCATCGCTCATTTGTATATTTTTTATTATTATCATTATAATTGTCATTATTATTTTAATTTTTATTTTATTTCAGTTATTAAATTGTTCTTGTTTATATAAGATGAATATTAGTTTCAAAAGCACTTGGCATTTCATACAATTGGAAGAATGTAAAATCTTCGCATTAGAAATACAGATAAATTTTGAGTAATGAAAAATTTATTCATAAGATTTATTTTTTGCATATAGTAGAGAAATCCACTGCTTTTCTGACAACAGATCACAGTCACATCAGAATGTTAGAAAAACACTGTTCTTCTAGAATGACTGAGGTATGTCGGCTGAGCTGCTGTCCCGATCCGATGTCGGGATCATTTAAATATCCCGATCCGATGTCGGGGAAGGTTTCGATACAATCCCAAGAGTGAGATTAA